CCTCACAGGTCTCTAAAATCCTGTTCTAAACTCGTTTTGAGTCACTTTTTTAATCTTGTGGTGTCTGTTGATACTTATGGTGTGAAATGACGACATCTGTGGTGCTTTTTGACACCATCGGCATCTTCTTAAGATGTGCTGGAGTGTATCACTCCCATAACACAGACCATTTATTTAGTCTGATACCATCAACAACAAACAAAGACTGAGGGTTTAACACAGACACAGAGGGCAGTCAGGGAGGAGTGGAAACACAAGGGAAACACAGCTGAAAATAATCAGATGTGAGAAAAAGAAAGGAAAACTAAATACAAGGCACAAGAGACAAAAGACGACCAAAATAAAATAGTCAGCAGAGTAAACAAATTAGCCTGCACTAACTTTCCTGTTGAACCTTTAAAAATATGAAATATTATTAATTAAATGCATGTCACACACATATCACAAAATAACATTAGCAACACATCATGCAACAATGGATTGCTTGGTTAAAATAAATAAAGATGTGAATTAAACCAAACAACAAATTAAAGGATCAAGTGACATCACTTCCTTCATGGCATCATCTGAAAAGACTCCCCAAATATTATTATGTATTAAACTCACATGATCTCCCTCTAACCTCAGTATGGTCAAGCTTTCAGTGTTTCTTGTTACTGTAATACGATCTTCATCCATATAATATTTCTTTCATGAACTTTAAAGAGAGCAGTAGCCACAGTCTCCTTTCTTGTATCCCTGATTGATAAACAATGCTTACTATTTCCCTGGGAGTCTTTCTTTGTCAAAATTCCTTAACCTTTGCTCAGATTCCTCTGTGATGTTCGTGACTGCCATCCCCTCTCTTAGTGTGTTGTCAAAGGTCTTCCCCGAGCTATACTCCGGCTTTTCTTAGACCGTTGGGATTTGTGTTCCTGAGATGGAAAAATTGCATTTATCCATGACTCCATGCCCTTTGTCAGCATCAGTGACCTACATTTCACCAACTCAGAGGTTAACCTCATTCATCCCTACATTTGCTGTGGCTCCTTCGGGACCCCTCTTGCTTAGGGTACTGACTTTGAGATCACTGTAAGGTTGTCCATGAAGGTGCACCAGACCTGGACTACCAAGCTCAACTCATGATCCACTGATTTCACCAACATGCCCATTGCTAAACTGTGCAGCCTTTTTATGGTTTCTAAAATCTTACGGCTTTGAATGTGTTTCCACTCTATTGGCACTGATGCCGACGAGACTTTCCTGGGAATTTGCAGAATTTGGTACATAACTTATCCTGAGAGCTTCTTCTACTAACTTACCACAACACCCAATAATCCTGAATCTCACCGACAGGGCAGTGCTAGTAAACTTTATAAGAGGTCCGGGTGCTCACCTAGATCTTTCCTTTATTATGACTTCTTGCAGCTTTTCACAAAGTTCCTTTCCAAGGTTGAAAGCAAAGACGCAATGCACTGATTTCTTTTCTTACATCTTTGATGGTACATATTTTCATCATAGATTAGGAGATTTTTCTAAACGAAACATTGGATTTGATTTGTTGGATTTAACCTTGAATTATGCTTTCAAAAGCAAACAAGTTGGCATCTTCCAAGTCTTGTGTTTATTTATTTTTTATTGAATTAAATGGATAACGAGATCAAAAAAACCTATTGGCACTCTTGCAGCAAATTGTCTGTGAAGACTGTTTAATGTATGCTAAATATGAGCTTAGCATAAAATAATGAAAGCAGAAACTCAATCTCAGTTAATCAATGAACTGCTTATATCTCTGTACAAACAATACACTATTGATGGTTTTAACTGGGCTGCTACTTATATTCTTTTCTATTCTGACTGAGCACTTAAAGCTCTTCAGTACAAGCCTCATTCACTCAGTCACACACAGAACTTTGTCTACCGCTCACACACACACACACACACAAATGCATTGGAGGAAAGTCAGGGTTTAATATCTTGCCCGAGACATGGATCGAGTCACTGGCCTTCCAATTAGCCGATGACCTGCTCTTTTTCGTGAGCCACAGCCACCCGGGTGAATGAGCTTATGTAGTGCACTATTTTTTGGACTGACTCTTCAAAGCATCAAGTTACAAAACAGTAAGTAATCAAATGCTTATGATTAAATTTAGAGGTTTTGTCAGGTGGAATTTTGCTGACACAAAGGCTACCAGTACTGTCTCCACAACTTCAGTGTCAAAATGTGTTTCTTATGTCATCTTTACTGAATTTATCTGTGTAAGAAAGGGCTTATTTTTGTCTTATCGTCGGATTGGCGCGGCAGAGGCAGCGGTGAGTGCAGAGTACAGTATGCTGTGTTCATAGTAAGCTGTCAGAACGACACTCGTCATCCCCACTGTTCGCTGCCCTTTGTCAAACTAGCAGAGACTCACATGAAAGGGCTCTGACTCGCCCTAGATATACGTATGTAAAAGGGAACACAGACCAACAGGGGTTACATTCAAGTTTGGCAAAAGACCCTGCACAAACGTCCATATGAGTGTGTTTGTCTGTAAGCGTGTGTGTGTGTGTGCGGAGTCATTTCAAAAGCTCCACACACACAAAAAACAGAGAAAGCAAAAAAAAAACAAACAAGCACTCAACAACACAATAGCATTTCCCACAATGGTTTCTGAGTCTGGGAAATTAGAAAGTACAATGATGCACACAGCGCACAATGGCCTTACAAATTGCTCATTTGTGTCTGAAAATACACCTCTTTTCTATCGTTTCTGCCATCACTCTGCCAGGAAGACACACTGTGACATATTATGTGTAGCTGTCATCTGCTTAGCAAGTAGAGTTCACATGAAATCTAACATCATTTTAAAAATTTCTTTATTAGCTTCAGATGCAGTTATAGTGCTGCTTCTTACAGCAAGAAATGAATAGGGTCACTGTATTCTGCATGCTGCAAACATTGTGTACTGTGTGCATCTCAAATATTTATGTATGCATTCACTGCTTTTCAAAACATCACACTGTTATACCTTAATGTGAAATATATGTGCCGCAGCGTTACATTTTCTCGTTCTGTGCAATAAATTAACATTTATTTGGGTTCTTT